CACTGGCATTTGGACTAAGTAGATAGTAGCAACTCTTCTCTGTCCAGCACCAGAAGAAAGGATCCAACAGGCAAAGGAGCGAGAAACAAGTGACCTGCACACTGGCCTGAACAGAATGAGGGCAGTGGAGCAGAGGAGGTGGAGAGCAGGAACTGCGCTCACGTGCCGGCAGGAGCTCCAGTGATTAACTTTACAGCAGATGCTCGCACTATACCATGTTAGAGGTCCACCTCCCAGATCAAAGTCTTCTGCAAACCCAACACTTATAAATAACCTATTTGCATTTAGTATATTTCTTGCCATTAAACCCTTATTTCTCTACACCAGAGACTACTTACCTCTACTTTCAATAAACCAAAAATTAGTCATGACTTCCACATACACAAGGATTACAGCTCTGAACTCTTTATTTAACACTCATATAGGAAAATAGGCGACCTTATCCTTAATGTCATCTTAAGATCTGGACAGGGCTTGGGTCTTCCCACTATCTGGGCCTTGTGCTTCAGGTTCTAGCCCTGGCCTGAGTCTGAACTCCTCATTTGTTTATAACATGCAAATTTCATCTCCCCTTTGGCTGTTTCCTAGTACTAATTCTTTTAGGGTTTCTTTTTAGTGTGCCTTTTTTTTTTTTTTTTAAAGGGGAGACTTCCTTCTGTGAGCACTCACTTTACTAGATGTAGAAACCTTGCCTCCTGTATCTTCAAAGCCAGTGACCATATTAGTGGTTCAAAGACAGACAATATATTTAATATAACTTTGAAAAGACTGCTCAAAAAGTGATCATATACTATTTAAAGCAAGAATTAYAATATTGTTATTAATTATAAACCAAATGACCCACACTGTYAGTAGCAACTTTTAGAGGCCTCACAACTAAATTATTATTCAAGTCATTATTTTAAAAGCAAGATGTCTTTAACAAAACTCCTTACAGTCTTTCTTTGGGAAGGGAGATAAGAACTGAACTTGTTATGACTTAAACATTATAAAATTTCTTTCTTCAAATTTCTGTCTCCATGTTAAACCAAGAATATTTTGTCGCTACTTCTCGGAGTCCCATCTGCAAAGGCACAAACCACTGAGTGTTCTTTGGAATACCAGACCAAATGATAACCCCATGCTGGAAAAGCAAGTTGTTGCTACTTGTGATGCTTCAAATTCACTGATATCAGCTTTTAAATGATCCTGAATGGGAGGTACATCTTGTTTCTCCATAAAAATCACCTTTCTTTAAAGTACTAGTTAAAAACATTGAAAAAGGAATTGATTTGGCACAATTATCACTTTGATGTGATGTAGAGGACAAGGTAAGATTGTAAATACACAAACTAATAGAGAATTTAATTTTATCTTTATGAAGTTTTCTGAAATCAAAGACGATAATACATGCATCAGGCACATCCAACAGAAGACTTTTACAATGGTTTACATTTCCTTTTTATTTATTCCKTGAAACTGCTCGTATTRCAGGTTTTTCATGGATGAAATATGGAACTGAGCAGATTCTTTTTTTCTACAAAATTATGGTATAAACTTGCTCAATTTTCTATCTTATTGCTAATAAACCTTACAGGCGCACAGTTTGTAAAATAAACCCCTTAAGGACTGAATGTGTAGAGCATGCTGCAAGGTACAAGAAATAAGCTAAAAATGAGCGTATAAACCTACATCTGGACCAACACAGTACTGAATGCTGGCAAACATTTACCA